AAAAAAAAAAAAAAAAATCAGTGACAAATTCCTCCTTGGTTCGGAGATAGAATGTGACATCAACTATTTCATCCCAGAAAGAAACCATTGTTTCTCCAACTTTCTTCTTCTTGAAATAGGGGGATTTAATTTTAGAATTATTCGTAATCATGAGATAATATCATATTGTCTATCTATCTATCTATCTCGAGCATGGAATTCCGATTATATACCCTTATAACATCTAATAAATTGAATAATGCTCTTTGAAATGGAGGGCAATATAATAATTATATGACAAGTTTAATAGAAAAAGAGTTCACATATTCTAGGACTTCGGTATCAACAAGTCTTTGATTATTATTGTCATCCCCTAAAATAAATCATGCACATTATATTCTTCCAATGGAGGCCTATATTTTATTTTATTTTATGGTTGAAGGAAAGGATATTCCATTAACATAATAAAATACAAACAGGCCCAATACAAAAAACAAAACAAAAAACAAAAGCACAACCCAACAAAATAAAAGCCCAACCATAATACACATACTTTAGGCCCAACATAACAAAAAACTCTAAGACACACACAACCCTAAAATCACACCCAAGAACTAAGTAGCCGCAGCCGCTGCCACCCGATCTGCCGTTGAGGCCTATATATAATGCTATTATCAGCTCCTTCGAGAGAAAGTAAAAAGAAAGAACAACCAGACTTGTTTTTAATTGGATTGGAGAGAGTGAGGGGAATGGCAAGATCATCGTCCATTGGAGATTCGAATGAAACCATCAGGTCGAGGAGCAAGAGAGCTCGTGAAGATGAAAGATACTTTAACTTCGATGATCTTATTGGAGCAGAAGAGGAAGAGGAAGAGCCAAATAATGGACCACAAGTACATGAACAGCAGGAAGGGTCTCATGTTGTCGTTACCCTAAACGATCCAGAATTATTTGATTGCCCTATTTGCTATGAACCCTTGACCATCCCTGTCTACCAATGTGACCAAAATGGCCACATAGCTTGCTCCTCCTGCCGCACCAAAATTAACAACAAATGTCCCTCCTGTTCCAGGTTCATCAGGTTCAATCGTTGCCGAGCAATCGAGAAGGCTCTAGAATCAATCACAACATCCTGCCAAAACTTGCAGTATGGATGCAAAAAATCTTTGACTTTCGATAAGAAAGGTCCACATCAAAAGGCATGTGTGCATTCACCTTGCTCTTGCCCCCGTTTATATTGCAACTTTGTCTCTTCAGCCAAGCAGGTATACCGACACTTCACCAGTAGCCATGAGATTTCCGCAGCAACACGATTCAAGTTCAACAACAGTTTTCCTGTTTTACTAAATGCTGGCAACAACTTTCGTGTTCTTCAAGAAAAAAATGATGGTACATTATTTATCCTCAAGAACCATTATGTTGAAGGTCTAGGAAATGTAGTGACAATTAGTTGTATACAACCAGTCTTCATGAGCGGCTTCTTCTATGAGCTTGCTACGAAAGCGAAAAAAGGTTCTCTCAGATATCAGTCTTTCACAAGGGGCACTCCAAGCCGGCAGGTAATTGATGACGGCCCTCCTAAAACCGGGTTACTTTTAATCCCATGTGATTTTATCACTTCTGATGGACAGCTCAAGATGGATATCTGCATATGGCCTAAACTTTCCAGTATTCTACGAAATTAGCCATGTTTCTTAACAGAAGTTGCAGGATATGCACGGGACAGGAATTTACCGCATCTAATACAAGGCATGCATAGCCTTGTGATTTTTTTCTTGTCCTCCCCCAATTATTAGTTGGTTATTTTTTTATACATTGAAGGTGAATATGTTTTTGCTTCTTCTGCGTGCCAACATTAAGAACTCAGTTTGATGAAAAAAATAAATAAGTTTAAAGCAAGTATTTGCTGTTGAGGTTTTAATTAATCAACTATATGCATTTTTAGTAGCTTGGACTTAATGTTTACAAAAAAAAATCAGGATGGGAGTTCCTATTGTCTATTTGTATATGTCTTCGTCGCAGTTAGGCTAATCGAGAAGACTAAGTT